ATTGGATATTCTTTACACATTTCCAAAGCCTGAAAATATAATACTTTCGGTAATACTTCTGGAAAGACAATCAGCATAAAAAGACAATAGTCGTTCGAAAATTTGAGTATTAAATGTCGTTGGAAAAAAATTATTTTCCTTCCCTAGTGATAAGCCGCGCGTTTCATCCACGATTTTCCATGATTCCGCTTCTTCTAGCTAGGTAACGATCTTATCCACCTAATAAAGGCTACTTAAGATCAAAAGCCTTAGGAGCCTTCGTAGAGGCTTCTAGATGTTGTTGGGAAAGGATTGCTTTATTTTCAGTTGAGATCTTGCACCCATATTGTCCGGTTTCCCTAAAGAGTACAGTTTAGCTCTTACGCTAGTTGCGCCCAATGAACCATCATTGTAGGCTGCTAAAAATACTCTTGAAGCGGAAGATGTGCATGGAAAAAAACCCTTGTTAAAGCTAACCTAGATTTTGAACCTTACTACGTGCTATGGAACCTTCGAGCCCGGTTTGGAATATTTAAGACCTGGTTGTTAACTTCATTATCAACAGCTCCACAGCCCGATGTGGCACTTCCTTTACTTTAGAAGCTTAGAATTATTCCTCCTGACTTTCCATGCGGTAACGAGATATCTATCTAGCGTCTAAAAACATCACCGCCGTCTTCATTATGTTTACCAAAAGCACCAGAAATTTCGTAATTACCAACAGACTCACCGCGGGGAAATAGTGCATTTCAGCGAAGTTTAGCGTTTTCCTGAAAAACATCGAGTGCAATGGGTGTATCAAATGTAAGTTTCCAGGCGACTGCACCGCAAGATAGCAGCGACTGCTTCAATTACTCGACGGCCCGCAGCTTGTTTGTTGGTTGCTTCTGCTTTTCGCTCCCCTTCCTGAAGCACGCTGGCAGAGACTCGCAGAGTTTTGAAGCAATCTTATGCAGCAGTCTGGTTTATCTTTGTGTGTTCTTGTCGATGCTTCGATGTTGCCACTGTTGTGTACCGGCAACAACTCTGTTGCCACATGCAATGCTGCAACAATAACTGAAGCGGCAACGAAGGCGGCTCATCTCATCTCAGCTTTACTTGCATCGGCTTGGTTTAGCTTGGCGTCTTTGCACAATATTTAATTATCGCGCCTCAATTGTTTGCTGCTGTGTTGTGCTTGAATGTTGTTGTAGCTTAGTAGTTGTTGCTGTTGGTTCGCGGGGCATTGCTTGCTGCTTGCTCAGTGGGACGATTCGAACACGCGCCGCAACTACAATTAACGTTTGGATTTATATGTAGATACTGTTGTTGTTTTTGTTGTTGTTACTTTGATTTTGACTGCCTTCACATCGACGTTACTTCGTCTTGTGTCTGTTGTTGCTGAAGCCGTTAGCGGCTTTGTTGGGTTTCCCGTTCAAATAGACTCGATTGCTGCAGACCCCGAGACGTTGGTGTTGTTGTTCGCTTTGTCTTTCTGCTTTTCTCTGCGTCGTCGATGTTTATGGTGATGCCACAGCTGCTGTTTCCACTTATGTTGTTGTTGATTGCTCGGTTGGTTTCGCTTTGCTGCATTCGTTTTGCTGCAACAATTTTAACTGCTCTAATTGTATTTGCCACTAACTGCACACATCTATGGACCCACTATCGGAATACGTATATACATACTCGTACATATGTATAATGTATATGTGTGCCTTCGACCTGAAGACTTTAATTGGCCATTGAAGGCAGCAATTATGCACACCAACGCCACATTTCAACTGCGAGCAGGCGAAGAATACAGAAACAGTTGCCCAGTAGCGTCTAGCAGAAGAACAGAATGTGATCCAGGTGATAAAACCAGAAACCAATTGTTTCAGGAGGAAGGAGATATTTGACAAGAAGAAGGCTCACTCAATTTGGTAGGTTTGTTGGACCACCTCTGCTCTCACTCCGCCCTTATTCTTGCCGTCCAACTCACTTCTTGGATGGCCTAAAATTGTACAAGGGCATTAACCAGGTGAGTAACCTTTGTATACCCAATTAAGAGATCTGCATTCCAGTTGTAGCTCCTTCAATCGTAGTGGGTCCCAAACCTATCACAAGGTAACAAGCGGCGTTTGGTTGAAGAGCGGATATCCTGCGCTATTTGAGTTCGCAAGCATCATTTCTGATCTGCCGAAGGAGAGTGGCAGTCAAAAATCCCCTTGCCCTGCATTACAAACCAAACAGACGTCTTAAGGTGTGGAATTGAGTTGACCCTAAGGCCTTACATTGTTCTTCTCGGTGCTGTCTTGCAAAAGTGTGCTTTAAGTTGGTTTCTTCACAAACGACTTTCAATGGAATGTAAGCCGGAAAAGAAAACAAAAATTTTTTTTTCTTTTATTCATATCAAACTCGAAAGTTTACATATATATTTGAATTACTTACTCCTTCGCCTGCTCTGGCAATAAATTAACTTAGAAGAGCTTCAGCTGGCTAAATTGATTGGCATTTTAATTAGCAATTTCAATGAGAACTCAACATGCCACATATTCTCACATATACAAATACAAATATATATTCATATCAAAGCATTTGTATGTAGAGGTGTGTGACCTTATTGGCAAACCACAGGCGCATGCGTAGGATAATTACCGTCTTGTAAATGTAAATATCAGCAAACGTTCATGCATACATACATACATACATGCATGTGCATGTTAATCACTGCAGCACACATCAGGCAATAAACACAAGCGCACACCTTCACACACACGCACACACAGGCGCTCAAGCAGGTCAACACAGCTGGTAGTTCATTGATTAGCATTCAGCAGATGCGAGTTTGGACCCCTAACGACATTTCAATAATCTATTTTCAACAATAAACCTCAAGCGATTGTGTCGAAGAGGGAGAGATCGGGAATCGGTCAACTATGAAAGGCAGTTCCTTGCGTCGACATTTATGCACAAACACATGTGGTAATTAGCTGCAGAAAGTGGTGAGGAGCAGAATAAGATGGAGGAATGGGAAAATGCGAACTGACACTTGGGGAACGAGAAGTCTTACAAGCGAAACGTTTTAATGACTGCATAAGCTTAAGAGCAATACGAGAGTATAAGTATTTTGTATCAGGATATGAACTGCAACAACAACACTTAATTTCAAATCCTATACTTATGAACAAACTGTACATTTTGACTTTTAAATTGCAGGACATGCTAAGCGTTGTCGAAAATGTACGAATTAAACATCATTTAGGGGAAGTTTTGAATTTCTATTTTACTAGGAAAGCGCAGCTGAAGCCCATCGAATGAGAGCATCCCGGTCAACACCAACAGTTTTTAGGATGGGGCGTTGTGGCTTTACTAAATCAATCCGCACCAAATGCTAAATAAACTCACAGAATCATTGGAAGTGACTCGCAAGCAATTTCCATTCGGTTATAGCAGTTTTGTTTTATTCTACAGTAAGGAAAATGGATCTCGTACGAGTTGCAGCCGAAAGATGTCGAAAAGAGATTTTCACCACGACACCGCCTCGTGAAAGACATGAAAGGAAGGAAGAAGAAGAGTGGATATACCAGGACAACTTCAAGAAGAAAAAATACTGTGTCTGTCCTGGTGAGCCCGTTCCATCATCGTGTTCGAAGATAATCAACCCCGAATCAAAGTTCATGCGCTGCAGTACTGTGAGCTGCTAAGCTAACCGAAATATTTTTTAATCACAAAGAAAGGCATCTTTTTAATTTAAACTCCAATTAAAAAAATATGAAAAGCTCTTTCTCTGGTTCACAACATACAATTTCTAATTCAATTCAAGCGGAACTGATTAGGTAAGTTGAAGTAATATCACGCAAGTCGTCGCCCCAAGCTCTGATGTCGCTGTGTCAATTTCCATCCATTAATATCTGGTGAGCACGGAGGTCAGTCAAAATCACCGCTTTTTGATACCAAGCGTACAGGCAACAATGGCTTCTTGAAACCAAAAGTATTCCATTCCAATTTCATGTAAAGTCTGCATCGACAAATCGGTAATGTTATCGGTTATGTATATCACTCCTGAATGGCAGTTGTTGTCGATGGGTCACCCATGACGAGCTGGTCGCATATCAGTGGCACATTCTAACCTGTAGGAGGAGAGCATCTATCTATGGTTATTTGTAATTTTCAGGTCACCGATAGGACAAAACTTAACAGACTTGACAGGTCGACTGGAAAGCGGCTTTTATAATGCGTCTCTGTCACGTGGCTGGATGGATCAATAGGCTCTTCATCACCATCAGCAACTCAGCCTATGGGCCTATATAGAGCTCTTAAATGCAGTTGGCAGTCATGACTTTACTGAAAAACGGCTTGAGTTTTGGAAAGCAATCCAGACATCTTAAAATAGTGTTAATTCAGTGCTTCATTCGTTTTCTATGTGTATGTGAATGTATTTTAAAATTTTTCATGCAAAGAAAATTTTCAATAGCCTTTGCACGTACCCAGCGGCGCAATAGGAACTTGAATCCATCACGTTCCGCATGAGAGTGCGTGCGTGTGAACCCAATACTCGACCAAGACCATCGACGTCACTTCATTCTCGGCCAATTGGCGAGTCAAAGCGTTTAACTTTCAAGACACAACATTATACTTCATCGCACCTACCGTACTTTCTTGCGAACAACACTGAATGGCCAACAAACCTTGGCCACCCTCACACCACCTCAGCCGGCAACGACGCTTGCATTATTAGCAGCTTGCTCTACATAAATGCTCCCTCGTCTGTGGAAGGTTCAAAAACCCCACCAATCGAACAAAATACAACTAAAATTCATTGTCTGCAACGCATGCTTCGAACATGCTCGATCCGCTCTGAGTGGCGTTGAGAGACAACATGTTGTATGCTCCGAAATTGCCGTTACTAAGCGCCACACACAGCTCTTATACGAGACCTCTGCTATCCTCTTCGACAGCCAACCGCCGACTACCGACTACCGAACGCTGACTGCTAATAGCCGCCCGTTATTCATATAAAACGGTTTGCGATGCCATGTACTTGGTCATTTGCGTTCGTTCGTTCGTTCATCTGGTCTGTGTGTGTGTGCGTGTCATTGCATCGCCGTCTGGCGCTTCTTTGGTGGCTGCAGTAGCATTATTTGGCAGCAATAGTGGCTGTGACGCAGAGAACAACAAGCCAACGCTTTCAGTGTCGAGCAGGTTGAAATTCATTATCAGTCAACAAAAGTAGTTGCCCGCAGACGCGACGCATCAGTTGCTCCAAAGTCGTTCGCGTGAGTTAGCGGCATTTTTAAAAAGAGCGGTAAACGGTCACGGTGGCTTCCTATAACCAGCAGTGAGTTGAAGCGCGACGGGTTGGGCGTTTTACGATTATTTTTGGTGACAAATTTACCGCATTTAAAAAGCGCTCGAAAAAAGTTTGATCTCAAATGTAGGAAAAAAAAATAAAAAATTATACTCGATACTTGGTTCATGGCCAATCGAAAGTTGAACAATAATAAGTTGATGTGGATTTAGCCGAAATTGAATAATATTCAATTGGGAATAAAGTGTGTGTACCTCGAAATTTTAAATAAATTAGAATAAAATAAACTAAAATGAAATTTAACAAAATTATAAATTAAATTAAATCTAAAGAAAAAACTAAAATTATAAAAATAAAATAAAACAAATCAAATTAAATTAAAAAAAAATGATATTAAAAATATAAAAAAATAGAATAAAATGAATTAACATATCAAAGCAAATTAAAATTAAATTTATATATTGAAATGCAACTAAATGTATTTAGCTAAATTAAGTTATATTAAATAAATTTCAATAAAAAATACAAAACTCAAATAAAGTAAATTAAATAATATTAAATTATTATAAATAATATTTACGGTTGAAGTCAGACAAAATTAAATTGAATGAATTAAAAATAAGAAAATAAAACAAAATAAAATGTAATACAATTCGTGAAATACAATAAAATAAAATTAATAGATTAAAACAAAACAAATGAAAAAATTAATTTAAATAAAATTAAAGAAATAAAAAAGTAAAAAAAAAAATAATAAAGTAGATTAAAATGTAGTTTAATATATAAATAAAATATATTTAAATAAATTAAATGTTCAGAATCAAAATACTGAGATACTCAAATTTTGAGCAGAAGTATTGACCTATAATTTCTATTTGTTTTCTTTTATCAAAACGCTATTGTTTTTTATCTAATCTTATCAGCGCTTACAAAGCAAAGCATTAAACAACCGGGGTCGAAGTGAGTGCGTGAACGTGCGTGCGAATGTTTTTTTACTTCATCAGAAACACACAAAAAAATAGGAAAACGCTGTTATCAGCAGCTCCTTAGCACTACATATGAATGTATGTGTGTTTATGTGTTACTGAGTGTATGTATGGGAGTGCTACATGGCGTATGAGTGCGACCATAACCCGAAGTCTCCTGTAAAGCAACGATAAAAAATTAAAAAAAAAATTGTTTTGCTTGCAGAGGTGTAATATAAACACAAAATACTGTGAATTCCTTATCAATTTATCAATCAATTGAAGCTTGCCGTGATAGAAACGAAAGCCAGCTGCGAGTGTGTGGAAAAAAACTCGTTGCTAAAAGGTATGTGATAAATAAAAATTAAAAAAAAAAAGTTGGAACATAATTATTTGTATATGTGTTAATAACGGTTGTTTTGATTTCGATTACAAGATAATTGTGGTAGCAACAAAAACTAGGAACGATGGGGAAGAATCACAATTTAACTGAAGTGTATATAATAGTTGTTGAAGCTATGTCGGTATGTATGTTTGTTTTTGTTTCCGACAACACGAGAAAACCATTAAAAAATGCATTTCGAATGTTAAGAAAACAAAATGAACAAAAAAGTTTTTTTTTATATTTCCAAGATTCCAAACTTTGCGCTAATTGGAGGTTTCCATAAGAAAAGTTGCGAAGCATCGCTTGTTTTGCGTTTACAAATGCCAGTAAATAGCCGTACAGAGAACGAAAATTCTGAAAATAACAGCCACTGGTGGACATTGCCTTCGGTGAAGTTCGCATGGTCCTATGAGTTTAGGAAAAAAAATATTTAAGGCAATAATTTCAAATTAACAAAATTTCACCGGCCTTGAGTTTAAAGGTATCGCTAATCCAACTGCTTCCTACACTCCTTCGCCAAAGCATTAAGTACCTTCCGACAATATTTGGTCAATCAAGTTGTTGAATAACGCACAACTCGCCCCGTAGAGCTTCAATCAGTGTCAGAAATCAATACCAAATCTCAAAAAATGTATTTTTATTTCATTCTTTGTCTATCACATAAAAGTCTCAAAAAATTTTAATTAAATTGTCAACCTAAAAATATGCCTGGGAACAGCTAAGCAAAGTGTTTGCCAAGAACTCAAGTGTTCAAATGAAATCTGCACTGAAGCACTGAGGCATTGAAGTGTCTAAAATTCTGTGTGTCAAATGCAGATTACAACACATTAGAGTCTTATAAATATTTGTATATATGCATACGCATGTGTGAAAAAGCAAACATTTGAATAAAATATAAACTAAAGAATATTTAATTAAATACACATACATATGTATGTACACACGTTACGTATACGTGAATTTCTAAATATTTTGATATTTTTCATGAATGACCTTTGATATGAATAAACAAACAATTAATTTGTTTATATATGTACATATGTATTTGTAATAATATTTATAGATAGTTTCTGCGCAACATGTTTTATGCAAATTTAGATATAGGAAATAAAATTACGCCTAGAGAAATATGTATTTTGAATGTCTTCATTGCCTCAGTGCAAAAAACTATCACAGCTCAATGGTTTCAGCTCATTTTCAATATGTTCCAAGAAAATTAAAAATATATGCTTTTCGGAATGCTTTCCTTCGGAATTTTGCCGGTTTTCTCTTCAAACAAGTTGAAAACGAAATGTGGTGGAATCATTGGTCCGCTGGTGGTTACCGTCAATCGACAGCGGTATAAATCGATGATAACCACCTTTTATGGCCACTATTGTAAGAAGTTGATCTTAACAACACCTTGGAACCAGGGGAGACGGGGCTACGTGTCACAAAACACGAGCAACATCGGAGTTATTGTAAGAAAGGTTTGGAGATTCGATTATTTCAAAAAATTGTGAGACTGAATGGCCTCCAACTGTGGGGTTATTTGAAGTTATTGGTATTGGCAATAGATTAGACTCTCTTCAAGTTTTAAAAGTCAGTATTGAACGTGCTATTCATGACTTGGAAGAAGTGCTCAAATATTAGGTTCATCGAATTTGTTCCTGCGAGAAAGAGAGCCGTGGAGGCCATTTGAATGATGTTATTTTCAGAACTTAATTGTATCGATTGTAATTCACATTAGATGAAAACGTTTGTTTTTCACTCTTATTGGAAAACCCTTTATTTTCATGTCCAAATGAACTTTGAAACTAATCATATTTATTCTTGTTCACTTTGTATGAAAGTATGTGAGCAAAGGAATATTGCACTCCAACATTTCATAGCCTCTGGTGCTTTCGGAATTTCGCTCAATTAGCTTACGCATATTAAATCCAATCTCAATAGGATTCAAGGAGAGTAAACAACAATTTGTATTTAATTAATAGCAAAACTTAGAGTTAATGGAAACATATTTTTAAATTATGTTTATGCATTTTTTAAGAAGCTTTTATCCGATTTTATGTTGAGATGTGTGAGAAATTTCTATTCTCGAACGAAATGCGTTGCGAATCTATGTGTCTAAAATCTATATACGTATATATATATGTAAAGTAAAGTTTTCTTTTTTTTAGCTTTGTGGGCTTTATAATAAGTCTTTTCGCAATTTTTCGTCTTCAAGCTAATTGCAAACACTGTGTAATTTTCACGGTATCCGATTGTTAATGACCCGTTACAATCCTATATTTTTTCACTCCGCATTTTACGAGCCCTTAGACTATTAACGACATTTTCCTCGGCGCACGGGGGGTTTAAAATAGACTAGACTTACGGTTACTGGCAGCCGCATATCAGCGGAAGCATTATGTTCAACTCGCCTAAACTAGTTTAGTGTTGAGGCCTTCGTATGCGAGCTCGGTTGTCGGCCATAATTTTTAACTCATACTCATCGTTCCATCGGCTGCGGCATGCGCCGTGGTCAATACACAGAGGTCCATAAATCTAACGCAAAATCTTTATCTTAAAAACTCACATCCAATACTCTCACTGTCTATTTATCAGTGCAGTTTTTAACTCGTTCTTCAGCATGTCACATTGAAAAAAAAAAAACAGGATGATGTGTCTGAAACCTCCGACTACGTCCAGGTTTCGTTTACACAGCCAACTAAGTTTTGCAGAATACCAGATTCAGACATAGCTGCGAAGAAATAGCTATTTTTCGTACTGTCGAAGGCAGTAAAAGAAAAGAGGTATGATTCGATCATCTTCTTACGGATCTGTTGTGAGGTTTGAAGCCGCAATGATAAAGGCCAAGCAGTGTTTTGACAATTGGTTATAATCTCTATGACTTTTGAAAATCTCAGAGACCGAGATTTTTTAAAAATTAATGCTTAGCAAACCGAAAAGAAAACTTGGATCAAGCAGTGGTGCTCTGCTTGCAGTGGCCATTTTCATCCAAAAGGAATTCAGACGGGTGTTGCACCGCATTTCCCCGAGCAGATGGACAATAATGTGGTTGGTAAACATTTTTGCCGTAAATGGAAGTATCACAAGAAATTTCACAGAATCGAAACGATCCATTAAGTCGTTAAATGCCTTCAACCGTTCAGACCGCCATGGATAATTTTCTAATTAGGGGTCGCATGTGTGCGGTCGAGCACGTGGAGCTCTTTCAAGGTCTTTCTATAAAATAAAATATAATAATGAAATGCATTGATAAAAAACAGTAATTTACATTTCTAATTTTAACACAATCGATGCGACACCTTGTATTGTATATGTATTTGGGTCATCTTAAAATTGTTATACAAAATAATTAAAATGGTAAATCAACAATTTTCAAAATATTCCTATTGCTCTTATTGTAAAAATTATACTATATGTGTGTATGTATGTATGTAGATTACATATGTTAAATGGAATAATTTTTATATCCAAAGAGCATCTGCAAAAATGCCGAAACAGAGCAGATTAAATAAAATTTAATTTTAATATAAAATAAAATAGAACTAAATTTGAATGAATATGGGAATATCGCTATTATTGTTTTTGTTTTTATCTAAATTTTTTCAAGAGATTTTCATTGAAGTAAACTCGTTTGATTTCATTCAGCTTTACAATTTCCTTTTATTTTTTATTCCGGCCATTCGATTTGTGTGAATGCATTGAAAATAATATTAAGCGAAGATTCAAAACAGAAATTCAATAAAACTCACAGCAGAATTATTCGAATGCAATTCGCAAATAAAAGTTTCATATAAAATAATGTGAAACTTTGTTGACAAAAATAAAAACATAATCTAAAAAAATGAAACCAAAAAAAATGACAAATATAGTTTTATGCAAAATGCAGCGTTTTCCGATTATTTCTACTGTTTTTTTTACAAATATTCCTCCGAATAATATATTGCATGACTTATGGCCATATGTGAATGTATCAGCATACTCGTATATCAGTTATTGTTTCACGGCTGTGCGTGTGTATTTGTGTGATAATACCAAATCGACATGGAGCGAATTTATTTCCAAGCGAAATTGGTTTTACTGAGATTAAAGAGTTCTTAACCGCAAAAAAAATTCGTATACATGTGGCGGCCGCAGTAGCCGAGTGGTTAGCATTGCGTACTGCCATTCGGAAGGCCCGGGTTCAAGGCCTGGTGTCGTACTAACATTCAAAAAGTTGTAGAAAATTAATTTAAATAAAAAATTAAGCTAAATTTTCCAATTGCAATCGCCGCTCGGCAGGGAATGTGAGGCGGCTAAGTATAAATTGTAGGTCCATCGATTTGTTGGAAAAACATCCAGACGCAAAACCGAAAATTGGAGGAGGAGTTCGGCCGAAAAATCGCTTCAGCTATATATGTATATGTATATATATTTGATATACATAGAATTACATATGTGTTAATAAATATATACATATGAGCACATATGTACATATACATTCAAGTACGAATAATAATCAGATCAATAGTGTTGCTTTAAATAAAATATTATTTGATTTTTTCGCTTACAATTTCAAGTTGATTACAAATGGCTTATATTTGATTTATAATTAAGTATTAACTTTTAATTGATGGAATTTGTATTAAAAAAAAATGTATATAAAAAAACACTGTCAACAAATGGATATAGTCGTTACTGATAACGATATTACTGTTTTACGCGCATTTTGCTGTTAATTGGAGATTTCAAATTCAAAAAAAATTAACAAAATATCCAAAAAAGCGGCGGCAGTAGGTTGCACGCTTATCATAAAATGTGGCTTAAGTGGCTTTAGCTTTTGGCATTGCATTACAAGCGTTAAGCGTTTAATAAAATTATTCAGGAGCTCAAAATGCCTAATTCTTTATTAAAAAAAATCTGTTTTGTTCATTCTACATCAATTTTTATATTGTAGAACAAGCTTAATCCGAAGAAAGTGTTTTTCCTGCAATTATTCCACACCAAACAGTTTTTGGAACACCTGGCCACAAAGATGTACTTGTACGGGGGAGCGTTTTTAAGTTCGCGGCATAAGAGGGCTGTAGGTGGCGAGGCGAATTAGGATCGTAACATGTTCAACGGCTTTCAAGTGTAAAGGATTAATGTTATCAATAATTGTTCCTTTATATTGTACCTTGTTCAGTTAAAATTTCAACAGCAGTTTGCGACTCTGCTAATCGTTAGGCTTGCCATTCGTTAGCCGAAATCTGAATCAAAACAAACAACATGAGTTTTGAGTATTGATTGAATTTATTAAGAATTTTACGTTCTTTTTACACTAAAATCTTGTCACCATTCGTTTCCGTGACTCCGCTCAGCAACCATATGTTTGCTGACATAGCATTCGAAGTGGACGTTGAAGTGGAGTAATGCGACCCTCGCATTTAGTTTGATTTGCTCTGCTTACATATGAAAAAGCGGCAGCGCAGAGTTAATGGCCTGATTCTTTGTTTATGTAATTGTTATAGTTTCGCTTGCGTAGTATTTTGATACTCATATGTTACTCAGACCACTACACAAGACTAATTTCACTATTAATTCGTCTCGAAGCACTTTTGTCCATTAAGAACATTTTTATTCGCAAACTTCAATTATACTCGTACACCCAACTCTTTCTCCCAAATTGTTGTTTTGCCAATTGAAAGGCTTGAAGAGTTCCGCTACTTATGAGCCTGAGACGATTCCTCATGCTTTCTCAAAACTCATTTTTAAAATAAGTAATTTTTCTTTTCCAAAGAAACCACAGATTTAATTGAATAAAATGAATATGAGAAAGATCCTAGATGATTCTGCAGCATAAAAATCGTCGATAGATTTTCCATTGAAAATTATAGAGGCACCGCAAAGATCTATGCTATACGTAAGCTGTTTAACACATTTTTACATCCCAATTAACTTTTACTATATCTCCAAAAAATTTCAGTTCCTGGTCTGGGTTTTGCAAAGGGAAATCTCTTCTTACTAATTTGCTTTATCTCAACAACACTAATGTTATATATAGAAAGACTTTCTTAAAAAATTCGATGGAGTAAATCATATAAATAATACTCATTGCAAAACTAAAGCTCAAAGGATATCAACCTGGTATTCTCCAATGGATATCTTCTTATCTCTGTATCAGAATACAAAGAGTATGACGCGTAATTTGAATCTTCAGATTAAGGGGCACACCTTGTGTGAAATTTAAAAAAAAAATCGATAGATTACACCTTTAAAAATAACATATTAAAATTTCAAATCGATGTTTCAAATAGTTTTTGAGTTATAGCAATTTAAAGAGCAGCCGCTCGGCAGCTAAAGAGTCTCATTAGCTACGAGTGAAAACGATCATTTTATCTTTAAACGCGTTTTTCTCGAAACAGCATTTTCCGAATTTTCTGCAGTCATTACTTAAAAACAAATGATCCGATCACTATCGAATTTTTTTTTACATGTTCTAAATATAGTTCTCCATATAATGACCTATCGATTTTTGATCTGATCAATAAATCGAAATTTGGCATGCCAAAAACGACCAAAATTTTGGGTAAAATTCGACTATTTTTCTTAAAACGCTGTTTTTCGTAGGTCATTATACAGATAATATTATCTAGTCGAGAATTTTTTTTTTTAGATTTCATCCACGGAGAAGGCCGGAATCTTAATTCTTTTCTTCAAAAATTTCACTGTATATTCTCGAAACATGTATAAATATATTCTTAAAATTTGGAAATAATTGATAAAGCATTTTTATAATAAAAAATTCCCAAAAATCACCTTTTTTAGGTCATTACACACCTACCCTTAATAACACTGTGCCGAAGAGAAAACGGCCTTGCTTTCATACCGCAATAGTTTAAAGAACTGAAAGGCCCATCTATCAGAAAATTACTTTTTAAGTCATTAGTACGGTTTTGGGCTTAAACTACTAATTTAAAATTTGCTATGATAAAATTGACTCCGTTCAAAATCATGTTTTGTTGTTCGCTTTTCGTCATTTCCAAAGAAATTCCCGCCAAAGTCTTCCTACCCCTAGCCTTAGAGAAATGCTAGGCTAGTGGATGTGCAATCAGTCAAATCAGTTTCTTCTCACTTATTTGTAACTGCTGAAGCGAATATCTGCCGAGCTCCTCCACTAATTTGTTGGAATGCATCTTCATGTTTCCGTTTGACAGCACGCAATGCCAATCCCTCGGCTATCGCGGCCGAGTTGAACTAAATATTAGTGTATCCATCCGACTATCACGACGGTTGTTGGACTTAAAGAAGTCATTAAAGAGGAGCTGAGCTTCAATATTTTCAATCGCCCACACGAACATCTAGATCAGGCTCCGAATCGTTTTCATTTGTTTCCAAACAAGAAAAAAGAACTGATGGGGAAAAATGCTTCACTGGCGATGGAGTTAAAGAGAAATCATTTTCGTCTTAAGCATTGCGTGCTAATATTCGGAAGACCAGAGTTCGATCAAACATCGAAAATTATAGAAAAAATTATGATTTTTGTAATTCCGGTCGCAACAGGCAGTGAATGTCATGCTTTCTGAGTGCGACTGTGGATCCATTGATTTGTAAAAAAAACAACTGATAGTATGGAAAAGGAAAAAATTTGTTTTTGTATTTCTACGATTATCGACTATTTCGGGAATAATAAAATGATGATTCGTAGGCATGTTTGTACCTTTTGACTGCTGAGAAATCGTCCTTTCTTCTTTCTTTTAAATAAATTATTATTACGGAAACCAATTATATGTACCGTTTTATTACATACATTTCTCTCTCTTTCTCTTTCCCTCTGCTTTCGCCCTTACAGTCATAGACAATTCCAGCGTTCGACAATTGATTGGGGAAAATTCGGATGTTTTTGATGATTATACATATAGACATATTGGTAGCAACAACAATAACAACAGCAATCCGCACTTAAGCAGTATCAACAATAACAACAACAACTGTACCACAACCTCTATCAATTCCGCTGATATATATACATTGTGGTAGCGGTGATAGTAATACCAATAATAACAACAACAACGACAATAACAAATTGTCTACTAGGAAAATCCCTGAGACTCAGTACGAAAACAACAACTGTGTAATTTGTCAACTGAAAGAGTCGCAAGCTCGTGTTGACATCCATTTTGGCACCGGCACTGCAAATCATTGCCAAGAAGTGGTCAACAACAAAAATAAGAACCAGATTTCAAATTCAAAAATTAGCAACGGCGGCAATACCGGCGTTAGCAACATCTGAATAAAAATTACCAACAACAATCACAACAGAAACCAAAACCAAAACCGGAGCCGCAGCAGAAAAATGCGTCGCAATGTGAAAATCATTATTTTTGCAAGCATTATTTGGCTATTCTTCATGGTCTACTACTTCCAGTCCAGCACGGAAAAGGTGAGTGATACAAAAATATATGCATAGCGCACTAACATATATATTGTAGATATGTACATAATGGCAATCTGTGTAGCTGGAGCTGCTATCTCTCGTATCTCATCACTCGGCAATTTTTTTTTTCGCGGTTTCCTGCATACATTCATATATGTGTGTATGTTTTCATGTGTGTATGTATGTAAATTTACTTCCTCTTTACTTTGCCCTCTATCTTGTTGTTTACTCATTCGTATCGCTCATCCATTCATTTGTTATTCCCCAACATCATCGTCACTGGCATACCATCCTTTTATCCATAATGCCATAAACAGCAAGACAGCAAAAATGTCCGAAGTCCAATGAGTGACCATCTCGTTGGCGTTCCTACAGCGGATTAATTTGAATTTTTGCTGGACATTGCACTCGTCACGCCAGGCAGCTGGCCAATACGTGTGCGGTGAGCAACAACAACACCAATTAATTTAATTTTTCTTTGGCATTTGATTTTCAACAGATATTAGCATTATTCTAAACGCTGAGCATCAGCTTCCTATTGTAAGTGCGAATGTTTGTATTGTGAAGGTTTATATTCGCTAAACGGAAGTACATACTCGTTCATACATATTTATTTACACATATACATACATTTTTTCAAAAGTTCATTAACTTATTTGCGCTGAATAAGAATTATTTCCCATAAAATCATTGTTTATTCTAAAAAACATTCTAAAAATCCATTTGAACATGTCAGAATCTTCCTCTGACGTCTGTGTGCCGAAGGTATATATATATATATATGTACATATGTATATACACATATGAAATATATTTAATATAAATGGCGCTTTTTAGCGGCTGAAAATTCCCAAAAGGTCGACAGCATTTAAAAATGAATTTGCTTTAATTTTGAATGTTGGTCAGACCAGTACTCGAACTCGGGCTTTCTGAATGTTAGTATAACTCGACTATTGCAGCCGAATATAACTGTGTTTGTAGGCTTTTTTGTTCACCGAACCTCGCGATCTCTCTCTTACCTCGTACCCGTACAAACTAATTTAATCTTTTTTCGCTTGCTTTTGATTTTTGCTTTTTTCTTGCTTCTCCTTCTTCTTTGCGTCTTTCTCTTGCTCACCCACTTCTGTGCGTTACTTAAAATTCCACGTGTTGAAAATGCCAATCCAAAACTACAATACTTTAAAACCAAAAATAGTAACGGGCTTACATTTGCCAATTACAGCGCCAATAACAGACAATAACAACAAAATAGTTAACTCAACAGTGAACACAGTTTTGGAAGTACATAAAGTAGCTGATAAAAGTTTTGCCGGAGTTCTTGGTATGCTTCAATAATTGGCATACACAACAGCAACAACAACAGCAACGCAATATTTAAATCAACGCCCAGCCAAGCAGAAAACCATAAAGCCAAAAAGGTGTGTGTGTGTGTGTGTGTGTGTGTGTATGTGTGTGTGGGTAATAACAGTTGTCAGACTAAACTTGAAAATTCTCCTCCACCCTCAACACCTGCAAACATACGTACATAAATACTTACGCACTCACTCACTCACTGACTTACTTTGATATTCCACTCACTTGTAACACACTTACCGACAATTCTGGCAAAAACAACAGAAAAAAGAAACAGACAAAGAGGAAAGCCGAAGAATACAAAAAAAAGTTTAGAATGCAATTTCTAGTGGCCAAATCCAAAGACAAACAACGAAAAGTTTTAAAACCAAAGACTTGAGAATTTGCCACACAAAACAACAGCAACAACAAAGCAAACAAACGGACGAGTAAGCGAAAGAGAGAAAGAGAGAGAGCGAGAGAGAGAGATTTAGAGGAAGAAGCGAGAGAAAAGCAGAAAATTTTGGTTTGTTCTTTTCACAACAATTTGTTTTGCTCAACTTTGTTGTTTTTGTGGCTTTTTTTTCACTTTTATTTAACTTACTTTTCACTGACTTTTTATTAAAACTTGCAATTTCATGGTGTCCCACTAATTTTATTAAGTTTTACTTTCAAACTGAGTTTTTTATTCAAAACATATTGAAGATCCATTCTTACGGAACATAACAATTATTACGGTATATATTGTGTTTGTACTCTAAATTCGTTTCACTGAAGTTTTTATATAATATGATATGAAAATAATAATAATACAGCAATAATATAGTAATAAAATATTTTATAAAAACAAAAATAATAATTAAAATTAAAAATAACTGTTAACGAGAATATTTATGGAAGCATTAGATAACTCGTATATGTGCATTTGTGTTAATACCAAGTCCACTTAAAACTCTTTGTAGCGGTCGTAAAGCTATAAATCCAGCAATTAATTACGAAGCCCCCCATTAAAGAGACTTATAAAAGTAAACTGAACAGAGAAGACACTTAGCAACCGGCAAAAGAAAAAATTTTTGAAATCGATACTAGAAAAAATACATTAAAAGCACAACGCATGACGAAGCTAAAGTTAGCAAAGAAAAATTATGTTATAGCGGGACATATTCTTCTCCTCCTTCTAATATTCGCATAGTTTAAGACCGATTTGTCTATAAATCAAGATTTTTGACTCACGCTTTTGGGCGTAGACAAGCGACTTCTCATAAACCCACAAAAATTAGTGCAGACGTATTGAATTGAACGATATTGGCCACGCCACGGGTCCACGACGCGATAATGTCCTTACCAAAAGTTGCCTTCAGTAAATATAATAAATTGATTCTTCCGCTGACTGTATGGCATGTAGCGCCGTTTTGCTGGGACTTAAGGTCGCCGCGTTAGTCGAGTGGTTAGCATTGCGTACTGCCATTCGAAAGGCTAGAGTTCAAATACCTGTGCGACCAACATTAAAAATTAATTTTAATAAAAAATTAAGCTAAATTTTCCAATTGCATTCGCCTCTCGGCAGGCAATTTCCTTCGACTTTATTTCTGACATGAAATAAAGCTCCTCATAAAAATAACCATCCCCCTTTTGGAGGCGGCTTAGTATAAACTGTAGGTCCCCCCATTTGTTAGAAAAACATCAAAACGCAAAACCACAAATCGGCGGAAAATCGCTTTAGCGGTTACAAAGCGCCAATTATATATATATAGGTCGTCGAAAAATACATTAATCATCTCTCTACAGCGTTCTCCATTGACAATAACATTATGCCTGCTTTCATTTTTGAAGAACTATAAAAGAATCATTCGATCTGCCGCATAACTCACGAAAAATTTACTTCTTGAGGGTGCAACGGCGTCACAACAAAAGCTTGTGGATTGTCATAATTTCATCGCTGTACAATCGCTGAGCCCATTGGTCCTGTTGAGCCCATTGGAAAATTTAGCTACAGGGAGGCAATTGCACATCTAATGGTCCAGGCCACAAGAGCTTTAAGGGGAACGATTTAGTTGAAGAGATTGAGAAAATGGGAATGTTGAGAAAAAAAATATTAAAAACATTTAAAATATTAAAAAGATTTTTTGTTGTTTTTTTTTTGAATACATTTGAGCAAAATATTTCCTTCTTGAAAATTAGTTTTAAACAAGAACATTTCCACCATTATCGTCTATGACCTTTTGCCACATTTTTATTGCTTCATAACTCAATGAGGATAGAATTTATGTGACTTGGCCAAAAGCCTGCAGTCGTACAATATTTTGGCATCAAAGGAGTTTTTCAGAGTTCGAAACAAATTGATGTCAAAAGACTCAAACTTACCATCGAGGCTCCATAAATATTTTCCTGTCGACAAAGGAGTAAGTGGTCTTCTTTTTGCTTTTTCCTTTATCAATGCTTCAATGCTGAGGTTTTTTTGCAGGGTTTTATATGCTCGTCCTCGGCACATATTTTATCACCTTTGATGAGTTGCCTTTGCAGTTTCAGAAGCGTTGACAGATGGCAATTTGGCCCAACTAATTTATTTGCGTTAATTGGCAACCAAGCATCGAGTGCCAGCCTTTCCTCATTGTTCCAAGCAGACACGTGAGTTAGGCCTATTCTTCTTCTCCTCACAGCTTCATGTCGGTCCTGGTCCACCACAAGCAGAATTTAACCGGTTTTTTGGGTGAATAGCCCCGACTGAGTGACCAGGTGCATTGAATCGCATCTTTCACATCAAAATCCCAATAACGGAAATGAGCAAACTACTCCTGGTTCTGCTGCCCATCCGTGCAGTGCTTTTATATTTTTATTGTTAAAAAGCATAACTTAAAGTATTTCTTCGATGTTTTCACTCATTTAATTTGTTAGCTTGCAAAGACCTGTCGGTTTGACACAATGCGAATTTTTCCTTATCCAATATATTGATCTTGAAATACCCTGGTATGAAATAAAGTTTTTTTTTTTTGCTTTAAATGGGCTTTTAAAGCAAAATAATGATACGATCTATGCAGCAAGTGTGCTAGAGAATGTGCCATCACAAAACCAACTCGCATTTCTTTAACGTCATAAAATAAGAATTAAAATTAAAAACTTATGATTTGCTGTGAAATCGTGCTCGATCAATGGTTATGGCGTAAAATACAAATTTAAGACACAAATTTCAGCTGCTTTCTGTTAATTAACTCCTTATTTATTCACCAATAACTTACGAGACATACGGAAATAATCTAAAAATTTCCCAAAATTCGAAAAACTTTTGACCTTGACACAATTTTTCGTACACAAAATTAAATTCCACACTTTGTGGCATGTGTTTTAATGTATGTAGTTACAGCAACTCACAAGAGAGACTAAAAGCTAAGTGATTTTGTGGTTGCTACTTTGCATATTGTTGCTCTTGATGTTGTTGTGGCGATGTTTTAATAGTTCTTGCACTAATTAGCAAAAAAACGAGGAATATGTGTGTTGGAATGTGTTCATGCACACACAAGTAGAAGCGCCGACATGGGAGACATACATACATATGTACATACGAGTATGTATGTTCGGCTGAAGTCAGTTGGAGGAAAGAGTAAATCTTGTTTCAGAAAAAAAATTCACAAATTCAGAATTTTTAAATAAAAAAGATTTTTAGGCAAAAAATAAAA